AAAGAGGATATTATGGTTAGTATGACAGCTGCGTATGAACTGGATGAATCTAGGTTGCAGTGTTTTTTATATATATATATATATATACACTTATGTGAAACTAATTTTAAGAAATAGTCGGACTTAAAATTTCTTATAGCCTACTCAAAACACCTTATGGTCTTATCAAGAAAAAAAGATAGATATTGACTTTCATTTCTCATGTTTTTTATATGATAATTTATAAATTATATAAGAAAAATAAAATACATTAAAAAGATTTAATATAACAATCTAAATTATTATTTTTTTTTTAAAAAAAAAAAAGTAAATTACACTAAAAGAAATAAAAGATGTTGATAATTTTTTCTTTGTGTTTTTCTGGCTACTATTATACATCATTCAGTTATTCGCCGGTCCCTAGTACTCCCTTCAACATAAATTTGGAATATAAAGAATTTGATGATTTATAAGTTTATTTTTATAAAAATCAGAAAAATTGAATGAAGCACATGTCAAGACCATTTCCTATCTTCACATGTCACAATAATTGTCACGCACCACAAATTCTAGCAATAACAGATATATAATGGTTTTCCCTGTATATCAAACATATACTCCATATAATTCCATTGACTACATGTATTTACATAAATACATACAATAAAATATTCCAATATCACAAATAAAAATATTGTATGGATCTTGAATGAGCATCATCCATCTTTGACAGCATACAATATTGGTATGTTTTGTGTTACATGTTTGTCGAAAAAATTACCATTTTAAGATTACCATGCATTTCAGTTGTCATAATTATAGCCACATGACATTTATTATTACGAAGTAATTTTTATTTTTTATTTTTTTCACTTCCAAAGTCATATTGCAATACTCAAGATTTCATGAGCGTGGATGACTCAATATCAATCCGGCCTGCTCGGATTATCAGACCCACCGTGAGTCCATGGCAGCATCTTTATTGAGTACATAAATACATAATAATATATTAATATACATTAACATCTTTAATCATAACGAGTATGTATAATTGTATAGTATTTTTTTTTTTCAAATCTTAATCAATTTTTATGAAACTTGTTCAAAAATCCAACCACTTTAACGTACAAAGTTTATGGCATTATTTGATGTGAAATATAATATGAAATTGTGAATTAAGATAGGGAATTTGATATGATTTTGGGTGAATAGAAGTACGAAATTATTAAAGTGCACTATAAATAAGTATGCGGCAGTTTTATATTTGTTTCAAGTTGGATGGCTTATTCAGAAAAGGTTCAAGTTAGTTGTACTTAAATGATATATTATTTATGAATTCAACCCGAGTATTATTTGGAAGATTATGAGTTCGAGCCTCAGTGGAGGCGTTATTGGTTCTTTGTGTTTCAGTAGGTTGAGAAAGTATATGAACAGACACTACAATTAAAAAAAAAAAGATTGCAAATTTGTGGATAATTAGCAATTATTATTCATTGGGGAAATTAAAAGCAATGGATTTTTTTTTTTCTTCTGACAGTTACGAACAAAATTGAAAATATAAAGAGACAAAGGTGAAAATTGATGATTAAAATTGAAAATATGACTACAATAGTGTGATTAATTTGAATAAGGTGTGATGGTTTTGTTGGAACCAGAGCAGCAAGTTATGTTTTTAATTTTTAATTTTTACTTTTATTATTATTTAATTATTATTAATACTTTATTGATAAAAACAACTTCTTTAATAAATTGATATGATAGTAGAATTATTTTGTAAAGAGAAGAGAGAATTATATGGATGAAAAATGAATAGTGAATAATTACATATTTTGTGTTGTGTGACTTGTGTCATTTTGAAAGTGAGAAAATTACACTAGTGTGGATAGCCTTATATGCAGCGCTTGAAGTCTTGAACCAATTCATGTACACTTAGTTGCGCTTGAAATTTACATTAACATTAACATCTCTAGGTAGATATTTAGTTGTGCATTTAAGCACATATATTTAATTATTATATTTGTCTGATTTTATATGTTTTGTTTACGTCAAATTAATTTTATTTATTTATTTATTTTCTTTAGTATTTGATTATTATTTAAAAATTTTATAAATTAATACTAAATTTAATATAATGAAATTTTTAAAAACTTTAGACAAATTTTGTTAATTACACTAGTTACATACGAAAAGAGTATATTGAAAGGTTACGAGTCGTTATGCTGTGGACTCGTGCTCAGCGTGCATCATGGGCACGGTAACGGTGCCGTCAGGCACTGTTATCTTCCTTTTTTTTTTTTTTTTAAATTTAATTTCAGACCGCTTTGTTATAGGAGCATATATTCACAGCTTTGTGTTCATAATTTCATAACTGTACATTCATAATTCCATAATTGTACATTCATAATTTCGTAACTGTACATTCATAATTCAATAACTGTAAATTCATAATTTTCGAAGCTCTATGTTCATAATTGTAATTTCATAATGTCAGAGTTTTATGTTCATAATTTCATAACTGTACATTCATAATTTCATAATTGTATATTCATAATTTCATACTGTATATTCATAATTCCATACCGAACATTCATAATTTTCGAAGCTCTATGTTCATAATTGTAAGTTCATAATTCCATAACTGTACATTCATAATTCTATAACTGTACATTTATAATGTCATAACTGTATATTCATAATTTCATAACGTTAACGGCGTTTCGAACAATTTATTTTTTTTATAGTTAAAACAGCGTCGTTTTCACTGAAAACGATGCTGTTTTAGCGCCGTGCGCACCTTGCAAGGTAAGCACGTGCGCATAGCATAATTTGCCGAAAGGTTACGTATTGAATTTGAATGTCAATTGGATCGACGAGATTTGTTGGGCCTGACGTCAACATTTATCCAGTAACATATACGTACCGCAAACATGACCTTTGCAAGCCCGCTAGGCCCAACATTTCAGTCCAACTCAGTATATAATGGCAAATTATGCTGTGGATCCGTGTCCACCTTGCAAGGTCGATTCAGATTATATTCATAATTTTTGAACTTTATATTCACAATATTAGAATTGAATATTCATAATTTTAGATTTTAATACACAAAATTACAGAACTCAATATTTACAATTGCATAACTATATATTCACAATTTTTGAACTCTATATTCACAATTACAAAACTGAATATTTACTCGATGAGTTATTTTCAATATTTTTTTAAAAAATGATTTAAAAATAATAATTGGTTGTGAATATCCAATTCTAAAATTGTGAATATCGAATTCAAAATTTGTTAATATAAAGTTTACAAATTGTTAATATAACTCAGATCCGCTTTGCAAGATGGACCCGATCCATGGCATAACAATTGCTATATAATTAGGACATGTTCTATTGCCTTATCCATTTCGATTTTTTTTTTCTCATTTTTGTTTGGAAAATATTTGAATTAGGAAAGTGTTTTTACCCATCCTAATATTCTTCTTCTTAATCTTTTTCTTAATATAACTTATAATTATTGGTGTATATAAATTAGTGATCTTACCAACTTGTAATGAAACTATGAAAGACATAAATATTTAATTAAATGGTTCCATGTCCTAAAGAACATTTTTTTAGAGGGTTAATAGCGTTACTCTTTGAATTAAATCACAAATTCAATTCCTTTTTTTATATTTTATTATTTTTTCTTTTGCCAAAGACACCTAAAATGCTAAGAAATGCAGATATTTGACACCTCACCAATGGAAACCGTTAAATTTTGTCATATTTAAAAATTTTTAGGAAGGGGATACCGTATAAATTTTGTCATATTTATCGTGTACATGTGGAGCTTATGTCAATTAAAAAAAAAATTGTAATTTACGATTCCGAACTATTAAATTGCCACCAAAAAAAGGACTAAAGCCATTATATCGTAAACATGGCAAATTATGCTGTGGACTCGTGTCCACAATGCATTATGGATACGAGTCCAAAATGACGTCGTTTTAAGGGGAAATGCGGCCTTTCAGTTAAAAAAAAAAAATTGATTTTGTCTTGCAGTTAACGGCGTTATTCGTTTGTGACATTATTAATGTACAGTTATGCAATTATGAATGTACAGTTATGAAATTATGAAGGTAAGTTATGGAATTATGAACACATAGTTCAATTCTGACATTATGAACTTACAATTATGAACATATAGTGATAAAATTATGAACATAGAGCTCTAAAATTGTGAACATAGAATTTCGAAAATTATGAATTTACAGTTATTGAATTATGAATGTACAGTTACGGAATTATGAATGTACAGTTATGCAATTATGAATGTACAGTTATGCAATTATGAATGTAAGTTATGAAATTATGAACACAGAGCTCTGACATTATGAACTTACAATTATGAACATATAGTGATAAAATTATGATATACTCCTATAACAAAGTAGTCTGAAATTATTAAAAAAAAAAGTGAAAGAAAACGGTGCCACTAACGGCACCGTTACCGTGTCCAGCATGCACGGGTCTATAGCATAACGATTGCGTAAACATTTAGGGTGTGTTTGGTTGATGGATTTTGCCCATAGGAATGGGTATGGAAGTGGTTGTTATTGTTTGGTTGATAGGTTTTTAGAATACTACTATGGGTTTCGAATATCCCATCAATTTAAAAACCCATACTCAAAGAAAATAAGGGTTTCATCCCCTTATTCATTCTCAAGCACTTCTATTAGTAACCATTCACATTCCACCTTACTATCAAACATGTTAAATACTTTCACTAAAACTCATTACTATTATCAAGTATTTGATACCCATTCCGATTCTGATTGCCATGTGCGAACCAAACACCCCATTAAAGACATAATATGTCACTTTTATGCATCAACACTCAAAAGCAAGTTATTCACCCATAATAGAGGATTATTAGGTTCGGACGAACTTCTAGAAATAAATATATAACATACATTTTATGATGTAACATAATAAAACCAACCAATCAAAACATGGTGGCCGGAGTGTACGTAAGTGTTTCCAAGAACTCACTTATATTTTATTTATGTGTTTTCTTAAATTTTTGCTACAACAAATATCATAAATTAAATCTTAACGATAAACCTTACAATCTTACATCAACTATGTGGTTTAACTACCATCATCACGTCAACGTTCTATTGGAAAGTTGATGAAGACAATTTTGTCGTCATTTATACTTGTGATGATTCATCGATCCGTTACGTAGTACTAATGATTTCTTACGTTTCCAGCGAATGACTTGAGATTCGTATCTGAAGATCCACCTTCCCTGTTAGCTTCCATGGCCAAATCTCTCCATTTCTTTGCATTTCTTCTGAGTTCCTCCCCTTTGTCTCCGCCGTCCATCACCGTCTCAATGCACCGCTTTATTTCCTCGCTCCCAACGACGCCGTCTTCGCCCTGTGTCACCCGCACGCCGGTCTTCCACACATCTTGAATCAGCTTGGCGTTAGTCCCTTGGTCGGTCCAGTGAGGGAACGCCACCACCGGCGTGCCGGAGCATATGCTTTCGAGAGTCGAGTTCCATCCGCAGTGGGTGATGAAGCAACCCAGAGAGGGGTGTTTCAGGACCTCGATTTGGGAACACCATGGCACTATTAATCCTTGCTTTTCCAACTCCTCCATGCAGCTCAATTTCTCTTCCTCTTCTTCTTCTTCGTTTTCTGGTTTGTCTCTTATCACCCACAGGAATGGGCGTTTAATCTCTAGCAGCCCTTTCGCGATCTCTTCCTTTTGGGTTTTGGAAGGGTTGAGGAGGCTTCCGAATGAAATGTAGACCACGGAAGATTCCGGCTGCGAGCTCAGCCAGTCGTTGATGTAGCCGTCGTCCTTTGATTTCTTGAAAAGATCGCCGCCGAAGGCGGTGTCGGAGGGGTCTTTTCCGTCCAGGAAAGCGGAGGGAATTAACGGCCCAACTCCCAACAAATTGTAGCTACTTATAGATTTCAGTCCCTCCGCCTCTAAAGCGTCGAAAGTGTTAACCAGCACAGTTGGGTTAGTTTGAAGATCTAGTTTCTCTATCTCCTCTTTGAAGGTGGGCATGGCAAAACTGTAATCCCCGCCGGAGCCGGAGGGGAGTAGAAACGACGGGAGATCGCCGCTGAACAGGGGAGGAAGCCCAGGTAGTTGGACGGGGCAGTTTGGGTCGGTAGCGGCGTTCTTGAAGGCATCCTCGTACCCATGGAAGTAGTAATAGTAAATATCCAAAACCGCCGCGGGTTGAATCCAGAGCAAGGCGGAAGGGAGGTTGACATCACGCGCCACCTCGGAAACCCATGGGAGCAGAAGAGTATGAACCACGGCCGTGATGGGGCGGCCTTGAGCTGCGTTATCGGAAACGATGCCTTTCAGCGACGAGGAGCCGCGGGTTCTGATCTCCGACATGTAGTGCGCGACGTTATGGTGATTTTTTTTGAACCCCTCATCGTAGCCGTCGGAGAAAGCGGTGAAGTTCAAACCATCTGGAACGCCGCCGCCGTTGGCCTTGGACATGAGGCGGTGCGCGTAGACGGAGGTGGCGAAGGTGACCTCTATCCCCAAGCGGACGAGGCGCTTCGCAAACTGGAGAGATGGGTTGATATGGCCTTGCGCCGGGAAGGTAACCAGAAGAATATGAGGCTGCACCATTGCCACGCCAACCAAGAAAGAACGTAACTAGATGGAGGAAGATATATCCGACAAGGGAAATTAGATATTTTTAGGTTGTTTGGAGATTAGAGTTGTGATTCTGTTTGTGTGCATCTTGATTTTTCATGAGAGGATATATATATACACACATATGAGAAGTAATAATTGCAGAGCATGAACCTGAACTTATTATATTCGTTATCGGCCCCACATTTTGCCGGACAAAATTTGTGAAGGTACTAAATTAGGATGATTCAATGACGAATTAATTAGGTAAAATATAACTGTTTTCTGGTACTTACAAAAAATTCATTACATTAGAAACACAACTGAGTTATACCTACACTATTAGCTGTTTTTGTGGAATTCTAGTCTATAATTTCAATGTATTTCCAAACAAAAAATTTATATTTACTCGGTAATGTGATAAATTACATCGAGTATATGTATTTGTATATTTTATTAAGCAAGGAGTATTTGGATATAGTGACTCAAGCAGTTAAATGTAATGGTTCGGGTAACTGAGATCGAAGGTTAGACGTTCCCGAGCTGATAGGTATTCCAAAGAGAGAGAGTCCAAAGTCCTCCAGCATCTAGCGGGGAACTTATAGGTGATTGGAGAGGACATAATGTAACGCCACATGTCCTCCATGCACTCGACAGGGAGGCTAGGGAAATGCATCCACATGTTGAAGGATATATGTCTATAGTTATTGGGCTCGGTTATCAATACCTCTTTAAGTGCTTATTGCATGTGCTTGGGGCACAAATTGATCAGCTAGGTTGGGACTGAGCATAAAAAGCTAAGAGCATGAATTCACTAAGCCAATTGGTTGCCTAACTCCCAGATCCAGCCGATCAGGTGATCTTCTCAGATCAGGAATGAACCTCCATTATTTATAAAATCGAATCTAAACAAGCGTTCAAGACTTACCGATCAATATATCGAGATATATTTCCTATCACTCATAAAGCAACCTGGATAATAATGCACAATAAAAGTCAAAATTGACGAATTAAATGTAGAAATGTGGGAGTTAAGATGAGTGCCCCACATAAACAAAATCGAAGGAAGTGACGTATGAGATGACGAATAGCAAGTTGTAACAGGTTGTCTCGACTTGGACACCAAGTGTGCCGCAAAGTTGCATGCAGTAAATGTCTATATTATATTTGTTTCAGTTATAATTATATTTTTTTTTCCTGGAGAATATGGTAGCAGGAAAATGAGTGTAAACCAGCCGCCTTTCGTTTTCACGTCTGTATATATTTTGCTGCGCCACTATATATATATATATAGAGAGAGAGAGGGGATTATAGGATGTGGTCATGCATGACCGGATTACTCCTGCTACAAAAACATGTGTTCCTAAATTTTTTTTTTTGGGTCAATTATATATGATGATATTGTAATTGATTATTATTGTTAAATCATTCCAGAGCTTTCTATCTTGTACATATCTAGACACCAAATAATCTTTTGTGTGCAGTGCATTGTTGAAAATTTAAATCTAATATTAAAATTAGAATGATTGGTTTGTAAGAGTACGTTAGTCTAAAATAATTTTGAAAATATTATTAGAATGTAAATAATTAGAAAAAATAAAAGAAAGTAAAGACTTTTTTTACGTGAAGATCGTAAAGAGAAATTATGAGTTTTTTTGACAATACCAATTAAGCCAAATTTGCTATGTTTTAAGAAATTTTATACATGTATATTTTGTATAATGAACTTTTGAATTTTTTATATTCCTATTAATTTTTGGGGAGATGATGGAAATCTAGCATGATGTTCGTTTGATGTAGATGAAAATGATCAAGATCGATAATGCTCTTTTAAGTTACACCTACACTATTTACTTCTCCACAAACTTGAGGGTACTTGGAGTGCATCGGGTGATTCTATCATTTGTCACAAGAAAAAAAAAAATATTGAGAACAACTATTTTAATACATTATGTTACATTTGCAAAAATAGTTAGTTTGATGTAAAAGTGTAATACTTTTCAATATGATACATGCAATTTATAATTTTTGTAAATTGAGTAAATAAAAATTGTTTTAATAAAAATCATTGTATATAGTAAATAAAAATTGTTTTAAAAAATTAAAACACTTTCTGCAATAGTTTTAGGAATTTTAGTTACAGAGCTATAAAAATAAAAATTAAACATGTCTTATAATTTAAATAATTTTAGCTCCTGGACAAAGACCTTGTGGTCAAATGGCATAATTGTTACCCTTCTATAAGTTGAGAAAGTATATATAGACAGATACTAAATTACAATAGAGCCAGTAGCACAGCATTTAAAAAAAGAAAAAAAAAAACTTAAGAGATAGTATACAAAGCATTAAGAATAAAATAAGAAATGACATGCCACTCTCTACTATCAAACCTACCCATGAAAAAGTCCACACACACACACACACACAAAAAAAAAAAAAAAAAAAAAAGGCAAACTACATATATAAAATAAGGGATGCAAACGCCAAAATTCTTAATTTTTGTTTACTTTGTTTATCTCTACCTTTGATGAATGTTAGTCATTATCGTGAATATATATCATTTCATGTTTGTCTGGTTATATTTGTCCCAACAATCCAAATTTACAAAATTATGATTTATTTAAATAGTATATGTTATTACGGAGTATATTAAGTTCAGTTTAAACTATCTTTACAAATTAATGGACATTTGTCATTGATGTGATGGGAATTTGGGAAACACTTAAAAGCCATCAACATAGATTATAAATAATGGAATTGTGTGTGTGTGTGTGTTTTTTTTTTTTTTTTTTTTTTTGGGATGATCTTCCTACTGAAAGATGAGTATGATCAATAAAGATATGTGATACTTATATTAATAAATATAATATTAATCAGGAATAAATAGTTTGTTATTTATAGCAAAAAAATGTAATAATTTTAAATAAAATGTAATATTTATGGGTTAAACACTTATCACGAATAAATTGATTGATTATTACTTATCCGAGAAAGTGCAATATTTATAAGTAAAAAATGTAATATTTTTAAATCAATATATAATATTAGGAGTTGAAGACTTAATCATGAGAAAGATTGTAATATTTATGAGAGAAATTAAAATACATATGAAAAACTCGATCCGTCTCACGAATTAGAACTAGGGATGTTAACGTGGCGGGGCCGAGACTATACTTCCATCCCCCGTCCCCGCGACCCGACCGTGTCCCCGTCTTGTTGCCATCCCTAGATCTAATCCATGATACGGATCGAGTTTTTCTGTCCATGATCTAATATGCTTGTTTTTTGTGATGTCTTGTTGGAAATGAAAAATTGAAAATCCAATTGTGGTAGAACCACTTTTTTTTTTTTTTTTTTTTTAAGACAATAAAAATGACATATGAATTGAACGTGCTTATAGATTGAAAACTCACTCTAACTTATTGACATGAAAACAATAATAACGTACTTAAATTCGTAATATTTATTTCAAATAGTAGTATTTAATAAACTTATAAACCAAAATAATTTTGAATTTTTAGCTATACTCCAGTGTCAAAAAATGTGTCTGTCAAACTCAATGATTAATTAATTATTTAATACAAAATGATATATATAAAATTGAATAAGGTGTCCCTCAAGAATTTGAAAATTTAAAATGCATTATTAATATTAATATAATTTGTTAGTGATGAACTAAAAAAATCATTTTACACATAATTAAAGAAAAAAATTTGTATATAGTAATAATTAATGAACTGAGTCTATAATATATGTATAATTAATGAAATAAAATAGTCGTTTTCCCTTTATTTTTGTAGACAAATAAAATTTCTCTTAATTAGGCTAGTGTATATTGGGCCCATGCTCTGGGAAGGCCTACTTTGGTGGGCCAAACTACAAATGTTTGACCAATGAATAAGAAAACAAATTTGGGACGGAGTTGTATTTCATTGGACTAGTTGATACAATGACACTTGACAGCAACTTATACTTTTGGATCATATTTCACAACTTATACTTTTGGATCATATTTCATAGGAAAATGTTAGGTGTATTTCCATTTTTTTACTCTCAATTTTTATTTTCACGTAAAGAATCTTGATATAGATACTTGTATTGGAACCCACATTAAAAAAATTAGTTTATTAAAGCCCGCCACACCATGGAGTAAAATTATGAAAGTCAGATTTGAAAGTACATGTAATAATACTTTATTTCATATTATAAGATTAATCATTGATAAATATTTATTTTTATTATACTAAATGTTTTTTTTAATACAGTATACTAAAAGTAAATTTAAATTACACTAAAAATAAACTTTACCAAAAAACTTTATAATACATTAAAAATATAAACATTCAATAGTAAAAATAGATACACGCATATGTTTTTTTTTTTTTTTGGTAATATGAAGTGTACTATGGTCTATAATTCAATAATTGTTAATTGACACCATGTCAAATGTTGTAGTTGAACTGTTTAACTATTAAACATATGTTTAAAACTTGTCTCTACGAAAACCAAGCCTTCTTCTTTGACCACAGTAGACTACGTGTTGTATTTATAGGCTGTCAGTCAATTCATTTGAAACTTGATAAACATTCTATCTAGAGACTTAGAGGGAGAACCAAAGTTTTGCTTATTCTTTCAAACCAACACCATCGATCACAAAATAAAAATATATTAACATAATTGGTAGCAAATTAAGGTTGGACTCTTCAAAGTGTTCAAGTCAAATGTGTCATGCTGCCACCGAATTGTCAAATGTTTAAGTATAGAATACTTAAATTTAATGTAATTTTTTTAATACCAAAAGTAAATTAACCAAATTATAAAAACAGTACGTGACTGCCACACCTGTGCAGTTTGTTGTTAGAAGTGGATGAACATTCTTTGAGATACATAATTACATTAACTACTCATTTGAATATGGTCAATATGTATTTCCAAATATATAATCTGTATCAATTCATTAATTAGAGATGACAAGAGATGAGGCATACGATTAAATTCTTAATTTATTTTCACTTTATTCATTTTTCATTGAATTTAATTTACAACTTCAATACGGACTTTTCCTGGCTAACACTAAAATTACAAAACGATTGGATTGAAAATGATGAATGTACGTAGTACTTAAGAGGCGCGCCAGCGCCGTATAATTGGATTGACATAATCGTAGCAGATGAGATTGTCTTGACTCGGAGAAATCAGGTGGAGTTGCCGGACCATTTGTATAGTCGCACATGCAGCTTAGCTAATAATGTTATTATCTTGTCTTTCCTTCATTCGATATGTCATGTGCATTGTGCAGGCAATACCAAGAATTTGGATCCGATCCATCCCATCATGCATGCATGCATGGATATGAAAGTGAAGTTTGGAAAGTATGACCAGAAATCGAGTCTTACCAGCAGCAGGGAGCAACCTCTCAAAGTGAAGGACTTCTTGTGGACAGTAAGCAAAGGTCTTAACTCCGTGGTTCATGTACAGTTGAGTTACCATGATTTACATCATCCTAGATGCTCTGTCGGGTCGGGGTGTAAGGCCCTGGATATGATGTTGTAATATTCAACCCAACCCCATCATTTTCACGTATGTATCTGTTTAGGCCGGCTCTGATCTGGTCATCATCACCACATCTCTCATCCACATCAAAATGCATGATTTGCGCCGGATAGGTGTTCTCATTTGTGGGGTCAAAATGGGACAATCACAAAAGTTCATAATTGTTTTTTGAAGCAAAAATTGACTTGTGTTTTTTTACCCCAACAATGGTGATGAGGTTATTGGAATCTAATTAATTATGGTGCAATTCATTCAAAAATTAAATATAATGGTATTGTATAACTTTGTAAGTATTATTGGGATAAAAGTGTTTAATTTGTTTCTTTACAAATATATGTGACCAATTAAGTATGCAACGTAACCTCAATCACGACCAACGAATGTAATCTCTTTAATTGCCTTAAGCACCAATGCATGAAGATGGATCTCATATCTTGATTTTTTCTTTTAATTTATCTTTTTAATGACAACTTGTAAAAATTTTACTACTAAACATCTTTAAAGTAAATTATATTAAAATTAATGATTAAGACTAAAAATACCAATATAATCCATAAATTAAAATGAAATGCATGAACTCTTTCTTTTTATATCAATTTTTAATCACAAACGTACGTTAGTATCAGCTATTAGTTTCATGTGCACAATAATCATAATAATATACTATATATTTGTCTTAATTAAGTATTTATATACTTTGCAAAAGCGTGGTACAACATTATTTGTTCATGCTCCGGTGGGGCTAACAACAATCTTAATTTAATCGACGTACCATTTATTTATACATATGGATGAATGAATTTCGTGATCCAAAGTCTTGCTCAGCTCCAACTAAAATTAATCAACTTTATTCTCAAGACGTACTCTCTCTGTTTAACTCATTTCTGTAATTTATCTTTAAAATTTTTTTAGTGTAAATTTATCTCTAATATGTGGTTTGTTCGCTTTTGCATAGAATTGGAGTTTACTTCGTGCACATTCAAATAGTGACTAAAACTTGTATAAGACCGTCTCACAAATCTTTATTCGTGAAACAGGTCGGGTTGTAGACACCTAAGTAGGTAAGTATCACAATTTCATTTATAAATATTACAATATTATCATTAGTAACAATCATTTTATCCTAAATAGAACCACAATTTTACATATAAATATTACAATAATCTATCATAAGTAACATTTATTTTTAATTCAAATTGATATTAAATTTTCTATAATAAGTATCACAATTTTTTTTAAATAACATTTTCACTCTAAATTAAATAGTATCACAATTTCACATAAATATTATAATCTACGATACTACTTATTTAAAAATAAATATTGGGTATTATCACATTCATGCAATGCGCATGGAAAATTAGTATATATTATAAGTAACAATTTTTTACTTTGTTTATTTCAAATTTATATTAAATTTTTTATAATAAATATTATTCTTCCAATAAGGCTGAACCTCAACCCTAAGGGCCCCCACATCCCGACCTGACAGAACATTTGGGAGGATTTTTTATAATAAATATTATTATTTGTATCTTAAGTAGCAAGCACCTATCATAAATTCGATTCGTCTTACACAACTGTGAGTCTGTGACTATAATAATAATAATAATAATAATAATAATAATGATAATAATAATAATAATAATAATAATAATAATAAACTTGTAGTATTATTAGGTAGCAAAGTTTTCATTTACAACCTACTCTGACGACCGAGTGTTTCAGTTCAATTCACGTACGAACAACTTGCGTGCACGTAAAAATACACGATAAGTGTATTAAACTTCGTACGCTCTGTATATTATATGTACATTATATATTTATATGCATTGTTGTATGGTACATACAACATAATAACTTGTTCATTAAAATAAGAGAAAATAATATTTTTGTCATTGATTTATTAAAAAAAAAATTATTTCATTAATTATACATTGTCACTTTCTTGTCATTCAATTTTTACGTTATGAGGAGCTAACTTCAAATATTATAACATTACCATGCTAATGTATTGTTTAAGTGAGCATGATAATGTTATATATTATTATTGTTTTGCTCAATTATGTGATGATTAACTTCTGCTAATGTAATATTAAGAAGAAAAAAAAAAGTGAAAATAATGTGATTATTTACTTTTTCTTAAATATTTCAGTTTAATTTTTATATTATGATATCAATTTTATAGTAAATTTAAAAATAGTATTATATTTCCATAATAATCATAATTAAATACACAGTAATAACACATTTTCGTAATTTCACATATTCCGTAAACTAAATATTGTTATTTATGTTAACAAATGACTCAGTAAGAAGCACAACAATGGATCCGTGGCGCAATGGTAGCGCGTCTGACTCCAGATCAGAAGGTTGCGTGTTCGATTCACGTCGGGTTCAAATCCCAATATGATCCACCCGTTTTTAAAAATCGGATCCTGCGTAATATTATCCATTTTATAATATTCTTCTGATAGTAAAATATTTAAGCACAAATATAAGAAAAAAAATTGCGATGTCGGATCAGATTCGGCAATATATTCCCTTCATTTTATAATCTTCTTCTGTCAGCAATAAACTATTTAAGCACAAATAAAATAACAAATAAACAAACTCTCCATCCAACGTTCAATTTCCAGTTTTACAGATCCAATTCTTCTTTTTACATAAATGTTAATTTTTTCGTGGAAAAACTAAATCAAAAACTAAAACATGGGTATTCTACACTCTCCAGGAATGCCCATTGGGAAGCGTTTGAAGTCAGTGCAATAATTGTAGACCATGAACTTTTTCTGAATCCATTTCAACCTGCTTTTTCCATGGTCATCAAGTTCTTGGCTTTCCCATTCTCCATTAGTGAACTGGTGAGAACTGGGGAAGGTTTTGGCTTGGAAGTTTCTGCACTGAGCTGTAAACGGTGCGTAGGACCAGTCAATCTTTTCTTCCCCACTCCTTGTGGCCCAGGCTTCTGCATTCCATATGCTTGAGTATACCTTCATGCTCTGATTATTCGGGAATGGCACCCCAATTTCTTCATCATTCTTGAACACCCTTATGGGAATCTTATCCACCAGAAAACTGTAAAAGTATAACCCAACAACCCATAAGTTTCAAATCATTCTTGGAACAATTCCAAGATGCTAAGAGATTATGGTATCAAAAAATTAAGAAAAAGATTTGATCTTTTTTGGGAATTTGCTTACATGATGTGTTGGGGCTTCCAAACGAGTGTGTAGGTGTGGAAGTTCTTGGTTGGGTCAAACCATAGGTAGAATTGCTGCTCTCTGCCGCCTCTGCCCTGAGTGATGACATTGGTATGGAGGACGTAAGGTTCGCCGGTGACATTTCCGAGGAACTCAAAATCTATTTCATCATGGGTTGGTCCTTGAGCAGATAACTGCAATTCACAAAAGCCATTTGAATCTTAGCCACTCAGAATCAGAGAAAGAAACATGTTCAAAAACTCTCAAGACTTCAAGTAATCTTATTAAAGATTTGTGTGGGGGGTTTGGATATATAGATACGTACATAAAAGGCAGTAACAGTGCCGGCAGAATTTCCAGGAACGAGCTTCATCTCCATCTCAACTCTGCCAAAGAGAAAGTCTTTCTTGGACCGGAAAGCAGACCCAGAAGTGGTGTCTAGCGACAAGGAAAGAAGCTGGCCTCCATTAGAAATCTTGGTGCCATTGCCACCCCAAGTCATATCAAAATCTTGGTAGAAGTTAGCAGCGTAAGAAGAAGAAGCCAAGCAAGAACTCAGGGCCACCATAACAAGAACCTCCAGCATTCTTGAACACCCCCTTCTCATTGCAGGTATTGTGAGATTTTGGCGAGTGCGGAAATGGGGTTTGAAGGAAAGTGGAAGAGAATATATATTATATAGTGGGTTTGTGGAGAGGAAGAGAGAGCGGCTAGCTATGAAAGAAATTGCATAAAGCTTGTGAACCCAAATGCACAGCCCCCACCAAACCCTAAAGGGAGCTAAGAGGGTCTCGTTTTAATGTTTTATGGAACTTGTGAGCGACAACTGGAATTGGAAAGACCAAAGCTGGTGCCAGCTTGGCGTGGAAGCGCCCTTTTGCCCTTTTGCTGTAAGAAATTTGGATATTCCGGGGAATTTGAACATAATGAGTTATTAGCTGATTGTGATACTTATATTTATTTAGATTAATTGAAATTAGTTACTCCTTTTGTTACATTGTCAGTGTTTTCATTGGAGTTCGAACTTAGAAGAGTCACAGAGATGTCATTGAACTACAAGTTATTTAACTGATTTTTTGTGTTTAATAGTATTTTTAATGTAGTTTCTAAATATATAAATTTTATATATATCAATACAAAACTTAATATTATAAAAAATTTAATTAGAAACAACTTCAGTCAAGTCTTCCTAACCGAACTAAATGAACAAAATGGGACAGAGAGAGAATTATTTTATGTGAATAATATATAAAATGATTTAAAGGATATTAATTTATTATTTTATTTATTGAATTATATTTCAATTATTATTAATTTTAGATATAAATTTTAACATAAGTTATTACTATGTCCAAAACAAGCAGACAAATTTCATACATATTTTGATAGAAATTGAACCGAATTATACAACTCACCGCAGCAAGGAAATGGTTTCTTCATTTCTTGGGTCTTGGGTGGCGTAAAAAGTGATACCGCGTCACAACAAATTTGGTACGCGCACAAACTATTCAACAACAATAGAAAAACAAAGTAAGTCGATCATTTTCTTTTCCATCACTACGTATGTACGTACACCCTTACCTTTATAGCGCTTCTTAATTTGAAAGTTGATAAACACGCCCAAGAATGTACACACTCATGCTGGAAGAGGATTCTGAGCCTCAAAGAAGCAATTGGTTTTGCAAATGTTTGTATTCGAAAATTAAGTCTATATTATATAGACTTTAGTTAATAGGTAATGGAAGAAATGTTTTTTTTTAATAAACCTTTCTTCTTGTTCATGGTGACAAGTTTCTTTCCTTCTTGTTCATGGTGACAAGCTTTATGTTTTTTTTTCTCCTTAGCTTCTTACTCAGCAGCGAATCATTATTACCCCCTTTTCAGCTTTTACACAGTTTTTTCATGCAAACCCTCCAACAAAATATATTACTGTTTCATTAACTTCTTCTACCTACCCTTCCCCTTTTGCATTAACTCCTCAGAGTTAAGTGTAAGCCTCCTTTTTGTAGTGCAGTTCCTCACATTTGTCTCTTACTAGTATCCTTTGAGCCTCATTCTCTAGTTGTGCTTCCTGTTTCTCGAATCTGTTTTCACCTTGCGTCCCCCATGGCCTCAAGCAGTTATGATCCCTCTAACATTGATGAAGCTTACGCTTCTATGTCCATTCATGATGATGAAGATTTCTTGGTGAACTTGGAGGAAGATCCTCAAGCTGATACGAAAGTTGAGACTCCCTTTACTCTTGTGGGGAAACTTCTTACTGAGCGGCCTGTGAAATTCAACTTCCTCAAAGACACAATGGCCACTGTTTGGAGACCATGCAGAGGTATGATCGTTAAGGAGGTCACAACCAACTTGTTCCTATTCCATTTCTTCCACGAACTGGATATGGCTCACGTTATGGAAGGTGGCCCGTGGTCATTTGAGCAGTGTCTCCTAGTCCTTGAACAACTGTCAGATTATGAATCTCCCTTTGATGCTAAGCTGAATCGAGCAGATTTTTGGGTCCAGGCGTTCAATATACCATTGAGTCTGCAGAGTGAGCGCACAGCCCAAACCATCGGAGCATTCCTGGGCAACTTCAAGAAGGCTGATGTTGTTCAGTTTGATGGAACTTGGAAGGCGTTTATCCGCATAAGAGTGAGCCTGGATATCACCCGTCCTCTGAAGAGGAAGATGAAGGTCAAACCTCCCAGAGGAGAGGCCAGATGGGTCGAGTTCAAATATGAGAGGCTCCCAACCTTCTGCTTCCTATGCGGAATGATCGGGCATGGAGATCGTCAATGCCAGAAACTCTTTGAGTCGCACCCAGCCCCATCGGAACGTCCCTATGGGCCGGAGTTACGTGCTGCTGGCCGGAGATCTCGACCGTTAACGGGGGAGCGTTGGCTTCTGTCCACCCCACCAAGGAGAATGCCGAATACGGAATGCAATCAGAACACCTTTAACGGTTCAGAAGCGGTAGGACAAATGGATGTTCAGGTTAAGGAAACATCTCTCAACACGCTGATTAATGCTACTGATGGCATTAATGGTAGCAACTCTGATCGAGAGACAGCTGGAAAAGCCATTCTGAATGCTGAGGGGGTCCAGACTCATTTAATGGTAAATGACTCTTTGCATCCTAGCAGTCAATTCTCTTTTCTTCAATATCCACGCCAAACGGTCCAAGAGTTGGACTGGGTTATTCCTAACCCGAACGTTATTGGGCTGGGCTTACCTTTAAATGAAGTGTTGGTCCGTGATCCAAAAAGAAAAAAAAGAGACAGTGCTGAACAAGATGGAACCCAAATCATGGAGATGGAGCATGAAGATGAGTCGTTTAGTGGGCCAAAAAACTTGCTTGAGGCGGGACCTGGTTCTCAGGCCCGCCTATCTCAATGAGTCTTATTGCTTGGAACTGTCGGGGGCTTGGCAACCCAGCGACGGTTCAAGTTCTTGTGGACATTGTCCACTCCAAGAAGCCAGTTATTTTATTTTTAATGGAAACAAAACTTGTTACGCATAGAATGGAGAGTATCAGAATTAAGTTGGGCTTTGATGGGCTGTTATCAGTGGATGCTGTGGGTCAAAGTGGGGGTCTGGCCCTGTTATGGAAAAGAGATATTGAACTAAATATATCTACCTTCTCTTCGAATCATATAGACTCTCTTGTCCGTATGGACAACTCCCAGCAAGTTTGGCGTTTTACAGGGTTCTACGGACATTCGGAAAGGCAAAATCACCACCTATCTTGGAATCTTCTTCGAAGATTGGCTACCCAAGGAAATAAACCATGGATAGTCATGGGGGACTTCAATGACATCCTCAAGCCAAGTGAGAAATTAGGCGGAAGACCCCAACCTCAATGGTTGCTTAAGGGATTCAAAGAAGCAGTGGAACAAAGTGGATTGAGTAACTTTGAATTTAGTGGGTATCAGTTCACCTGGGAGAAAGGAAGAGGGACTAGAGATTGGATCCGCGAGAAACTAGACCGAATCCTTGTAAGTGACTCGTGGGCCGAGCAGTTTGAGGAAGCGAAGGCAACCTCTTTTGAAGCTTTACAGAGCGATCACTTACCTATTGCTATATGGCCTATCCCCTCGGTCCGACAGCGTAGGAGAAGACGGTTTAGATTCGAAAATTGCTGGGTTAAAGAGGCTAGATGCAGGGAAATTATCAACTATAGCTGGGACTCTTCTGTGGGTCTTGAACTGTGTACTAGATTTGATATGTGCGGTGAAGCCATTTGGAACTGGGGGAAGAATTATCACAAAAACTTCCAACCTCGAATTGATGCATGCAAGTCCAGACTTCAGTTTCTCCGCGATAGAGAGGATGTTCGTGGTATTGAGGAATTCGCTGCTATTCAGAAATCTTTGCTCCATCTTCTTAATCAACAAAATATGTACTGGAAACAACGAGCTAAAGTATTTTGGCTCAAGGATGGTGACTGTAATTCAAAGTTCTTCCACAACTCTGTTAGTAAGCGCAAGAGGAACAATTCTATAAAGAGGCTCCGGGACGAAGCTGGGAACTGGACTCAGGAAGAGAAGGAAATTCAGAATCTGATCAAGGATTATTTTCTAAAAATCTTCACTGCCTCAAGCGGTGATCAAATTCCTGTTCTCCAAGAGATTCGCAAGGGGGTATCAGCTTCGCAGAATGAGGCCCTTATGAGAGCCTTCACCAGAGAGGAGGTCAGAACTGCGGCCTTCGGGATGCATCCGGACAAGAGCCCAGGTATTGATGGCTTAAACCCCGGCTTTTTTCAAAGTTACTGGGATATTGTTGGGGATAGCTTGACCTCTCTTTGTAATGAGTTCCTTAGGACAGGCAAGTTCCAAAAGGGACTAAATCAAACCCATATTGTTCTTATCCCCAAAAAGGCTACTCCTGAAAAAATGGCAGACCTCAGACCGATTGCTCTCTGCACGGTCGCATACAAAATTGTCACAAAGACGATGGCTAATAGGCTAAAACCTATTCTGGGGGGTTTGATTTCTGATAATCAAAGTGCGTTTGTCCCCGGGAGATTGATTACGGATAACATAATGGTGGCCTATGAGATGCAGCATTATCTGAAAAGGAAAACCCAAGGTCGGGAGGGGTACGGTGCACTCAAACTCGACATGAGCAAGGCTTATGATAGAGTTGAATGGCCTTTGCTTAAATCTATCATGTTGAAAATGGGTTTCAATAACCGTTGGGTGGACATGATTATGTATTGTGTATCTACTGTTGTGTATTATGTTCTGAAGGACAATAATGAGATTGGTCCTATCATTCCCAGTAGAGGTCTCAGACAAGGTGACCCTTTGTCACCTTACTTATTTCTCATTGTTGCGGAGGGCTTTAGTGCTTTGATTAAAAGTTATGAGAATGCTGGTAAACTTCATGGTATATCAGTAGCCAGATCAGCCCCTGCAGTGTCTCATTTGCTTTTCGCCGATGACAGCTACATTTTCTTCAAGGCTAATCTTACAGAATCCTCTAATTTGAAGCAGTTGCTGGCCAGCTACTCCTCAACTTCTGGACAATCAATCAATTTCGATAAATCTTCACTCTGTTTCAGCAGGAACGTTGATGAGTCTATGAGACGAAGAGTAGGAGACATTCTGGGAGTTAGGTGTGAGGGAGGTAGTGGGAATTACTTGGGTTTGCCCATGCTGGTTGGAAGGAACAAAAAACAGATTTTTGGTTTCATTAAGTCAAGGATAATCAGCCGTATACAGGGATGGAACCAAAGATTCATTTCTAGAGCCGGAAGAGAAATCCTCCTTAAAAGTGTCATCCAATCCATTCCTTCTTATGCT